AGAGAGTTGTTGGAGAGGTAAAGCTGCTGGACAGATGGAGGCAGATGTTTGGGAAAAGTCTCCAGGAGGTTGTGACTAAGATCCAGGAGGTTGAGGACTCCAAGACCTGGTGAAGAACATGACAGATAGACTTAACACAAGAGTTGATTAACTTTGTTTATTTTTAACTTAATACTTCCTGATGAATTATATAGAGATGCACAATATATCGGTCCGTGTATCGGTTATCAGATTAGATATTAGAGATTTATTGTATTTTATTTATTTATCAGTGTCGGTTGATTTTGGATATTATGCATTCTCAGTTCCTCTTTTTTTACATTTAGATTACATTTGCCACCATTTAAGCCTCAGTTAAAGCTAATCTTTAAAATGTAATAATACTTTTAAATGTAATCATTAGCAAATCTCAAAATATAAATTTTATACTGTCAATTTATAATGTGAAGCCCAAATTCACTTGTAGCATTTAGAACGATTTTAGTTTTTAGTATTTAATTTGAAAAACATTTAGACAAATACATTGTCTAAACCATTTATCAGTTATCGGCCATTAAAAGTAAATACTGGTTTACTGGTACCAGTCAGAATTTTAATATCAGTGCATCTCTAGATTTATCTTTTGAAAATGTGTTGAAAAAAAATATAAAAACCAATGCATACCTTTTAAGTCACTCTCTTCAATAGTCTTCAGACGATTACCTTGTAATAAAAGTAATGTTAAATTTTCCAGATTTTGTAAAGCACCTGCGGAAATCTTTTCGATGTGATTATATGCGAGTCGCAGCTGCTTAAGTCCACTAGGCAGTCCGACTGGCACCCTTGTCAGGTTATTATTATTTATGAAAAGATTTACCAAGTGGGTCAGATTGGAGAACAACACATTATCGAGTTGCTCACTCAGTAGCTGATTGTGATCCAAGATCAACCAGCGCAAGTTGGTGGCATTGGCAAACGCTCCGGTTCCAAGGGTAGTAATGTTATTCCCTTGGAGAAACAGGTACTGTGTGCGGGACGGAAGGCCAGAGGGAAGCTGGATAAGGCCCCTGTGGTCACAATAAAGGGCTGTTGGCCACTGGATAGGGCAATCACACTCCAAAGGACAACTTTGTGTGTTCACAGCACGAAACCAGCCGGGATCCATCCGATCTTTCAAAGTCAACACACTCGGCTCTCCC